GGGAGTATGGATCAGGTAAAGAGATACAACTTGTTATTAGTCCGGGAGTATGGATTAAGACTAAGTTAATTGTCCCTAGTCCGGGAATATGGATTGGGCACAGTTATTGATCCGGGAGTATGGATCAGATCAGGATTAGGGTATAGTTAATTGTCCTTATTCCGGGAGTATGGATTGGGTACAATTATTGATCCGGGAGTATGGATCAGATCAGGAGGTTAGTTTTAGATCCGTGAGTATGGATCAGGTAGTTTTAGATCCGTGAGTATGGATCAGGTGAAAAAGGTTATTTTTAGATCCGTGAGTAGGGATCAGGTAAAGAGGAAAATTTTAGATACGAGAATTTAGATTGTGTCGTTGTGAGGATCGATGGGGTGGGATAAGAGTTGCCTTTATATGGTGAAATTGTACAAGTTTGAATGTTCTATATTTATAAATATATGATATAACATTGTGGGATGAAAACCCTATATGCTCACCAGGCTCCCAAGCCTGACCCACTCAGTTTTCTTTGTATCACAGGTATTAATACGAAGACATATTTCACAGAGAGATTTAAAGGAGATATAAATCAATTGTGTAATTAAATGTAAGTTTTGTTTATGCTTATATGTATGTATCGGAACATGACATCCCGAGGTTTTATTATTAAATGAAAATACATTCTCTTCGAGAAATGTTTTGATAAGTTATTATCATATCTTGTTTTGGGAACAAATTCCGCAACTGTTTTCTTTAAAAGATTACTCTGATTTTATAAAACAAAGCATAAACAAATCAGTCTTTTCTGGCCGTGAAAATGGGGATGTCACACGTTTGCATTTTAGCACCGCCTTTCACTTGCAGACAGATGGTCAGAGCGAGCGGACCATCCAGACTCTGGAGGATATGTTGCGGGCATGCGTGCTAGACTTCGTTGGTAGCTGGGATACTTATCTTCCCTTGGCTGAGTTCTCGTACAACAATAGCTACCACGCAAGTATCGACCGCCCTCCATTCGAGACGTTGTACGAACGGAGGTGCAGGACCCCGATATGATGGGGAGAGGTTGGTTAGAGAGTTATGGGGAGCACTGAAGTGGTGCTCAAGACTATCGAGAGGATTCAGCAAGTTCGGAGCAGGCTGCAGACTGCGCAGAGTCGACAGAAAAGTTACGCCGACAAGCGTCGATCAGACCTGGAGTTCCAGGTCGGGGATATGGTTCTCCTGAAGGTGTCGCCTTGGAAAGGCGTGATTCGATTTAGGAAGCGGGGAAAGTTGGGCCCGAGATTCACTGGTCCGTTCAGGGTTGTAGGCCGGGTGGGCAAGGTGGCATATAGGCTGGATCTGCCAGCCGAGCTCAGCCAGATCCACATCACCTTCCATGTCTCCTAGTTGCGAAAGTGTCTTGTGGATGATTCAGCGGTGGTACCATTAGAGGATATACAGGTTGATGACAGCCTGAATTACATTGAGCGCCCAATCGCAATCCTCGACCGGAAGTCGAAGGATCTGAGGAACAAGAGGATGGAGTTAGTGAAGGTGCAGTGGCAGCACCGAAAGGGGTCCGAGTGGACTTGGGAGCCGATGGAAGAAATGATGGAGCATTACCCCGAGCTGTTTCAGGATCGAGCAGCAGACTTTGAGGACGAAGTCTAAAATAAGTGGGGGAGATTTGTAGCACCTGGTTCCTGATATGTATTCTTGATTATTAACTCTCCTTATGTATTGCATTTTAACCTTCGACTCCGCGAGTTGAAGGACTAACTCGTCGAGTAGAAGCAGGTCTAGTCACGGGATCAATTCTGGCTACTCGGTGAGTAGGGTCGTGGGACTCGACGAGTAGCCCTGTCTGGACTGAAACCCTAACCAGGGTGTTTGCACCCTATTTAAATGATCTAACCCAGCCTCCACTACCCCTAGCACTCCCAGAGATCTGTAGAACGAAACCCTAGGCCCCTTTGTGTCCTTGTGGGTGATTTTTAGCATTTTGAAGGTGGTTTGGAGCTTGGGAGAAGAAGGAGAAGGTTGAAGAGTGCAAGAAGGGAAGAAGATCCAGAATATACTCTGTGAAGGGCTTCTATTCAGGTAGAAAAGTTCCTACCTTGATCTTTAGTTCATTGAACCCCCTTTCTTGTCCCTAAAAAAAGGTTTTAAGCCCTAAGAACCTAAGTCTCTATGTGTTTATGGTTAATGTTCTGCAAGGACTTCAGATTTGGACCTTTAGGACATCCTAGTAGCATAAAGTCTTTGTGGTTGAGGTGATTGAGGTCCCTATTGAGTGTAGGACCTCTTAAAGAGCTTGGAATTGCATGTTTGAGCTCATTGGGCCGTGCATGCACGTAAAGTTTGCAACTTTACGTGGTAAACATGCTCTAGTTACTTAGATCTATGGTTTTGAAGCATTGCATGTCTCAGATCTAGCCTACTTGGGATATGGGTCGAGGAACTCGACGAGTTGGATGAACAACTCGGCGAGTCCTATGAAGATTGCCTGGAGCTCGCCGAGTTGTTCTTCAAACTCGGCGAGTCGGTACTCGAGTCGGCCCCATAGTCCCGAGTGGTGACTCAAGGGTGACTCAGTGAGTGGGACCGGATTAGTAAGGGAAGGACTCGGCGAGTCCAGTCAACTGGAAGTTGACTTTGACTTGGATTTCGACCTAGTCGAGGGTAAAAGGGTCATTTTACCCTAAGAACATCTAGCAATGTTTGACTGATCGTTTTGTGGGATTTATAGCCGGAGGATGTCCGGAGCAGCAGCAGCAGTAGACAGTCAGTTTTCGATCAGTTCAGCCGCTACTTTGAGGTGAGTTACCTTCCAGTAGCGGTGGGTCTAAGGCCACAATGCCGGCCCACCAGTAGGAGATGTGTGATTAGATGATTGTCTTTGTGATATTCATCTAGGGTTGCTACTACTTGTGTTATGTTTATGTGTTAGTGACAGTAGGGGGAGATAGTCCCCCAGAATACCGGTCGATAGGGCCGAAGGGGCGGTCATGCCCAGCCATGCTAGATAAACTATGTGAGATATGTGTTATGTGGTAGTGGTAGGGGGTGAAATAGTCCCCAATATCCGGTCGAGAGGACCGAAGGGGAGGCCAACACCCAGATATGCTAGGCAGTATCCGGCCGAGAGGACCGAAGGGGAGGCCAACACCCAAATATGTTAGGCAGTATCCGGTCGAGAGGACCGAAGGGGAGGCCAACACCCAGATATGCTAGGCAACATCCGGTCGAGAGGATCGCAGGGGTAGGTCGGGCACCCAGATATGCGTGACAATTTATGTATGTTATGTGATTATATGGTATGTGGTACAGTGGGGGGAACTCACTAAGCTTCGTGCTTACGATTTTCAGTTTTGGTTTCAGGTACCTCTTCAGTTAAGGGAAAGGAGCTGACACGGTAGCAACATATCACACACACACTCTTGTTTCCGTAGTTATGAGTTTATTCTGGGATTGATACTCTGATATTTTGGTTGTTTACATGTTGTGGATTTCAAATTTGGGTTTTAGATGTGAAATGGTTTAATTAAACAATGTTTTAATTATTAGTGTTTTCTAAGTAAAGTTTTAAAAACGAAATTTCTGGACGTGAAAATTGTGTCGTTACACAACAACATCAAGGCCTCTCATCATTTTATCACACATCGTCTTAGTACATCTACCCGTGTTTTACCCCAATATTTTTGTAGATATACAATACTTATACAGTTTAAATCATTTAAAACATGTATAAAATCGTTCATCCTGCATATATAGCAAGTATACAGATAATATGCACACACAACGCGTAATCTATATAAAATACTTCATATCTATGCGTAAGATGAAAGTAACCATGCACTCACCTGTTAAGGTGGTGATCTCGAACTTAGAAAGCGCTTCGTTACTCTTGAAACAATTTCTTTCTGCAAAACCTAGTATCATTACCACTAGGGTTTAGTCTAATATTCACCGAGACTAATTAATAGTCTAGTTATTATTACTATTAAATAAGCGTTAAACAATACTTATATAACCCATAATAATATCCCAAGTACTTATTATAAGTTCCTAATAATATTACTATAATTAAATAAAAGCCATATTAAAAATAGTGTAGGTGTAGCTCACTTACAACGAGTTTTATAGAAAACCGCACTTCGCTTGGAGTAGCGTTTCCGAACCGAAAGACCCTTTTTCTCGGGACTTCCTTCGAATGCTAGGGGGTTTACCTAGGCTTATGAGGGGGTTACGGGGGTTAGAGAGAGAGAGAGAGAGAGAGAGAGAGAGAGAGAGAAAAGAGGAAAAGTGTGGGAAATGGAGGAACCCAACACCTCTATTTATAGGCTGAATTCCTGATGGACTCGCCGAGTCGGTGCCACTTGTCAGCTTTCTTGTGGTCACACGTGTGTGGCTTGAATTGTGCCACGTCACCCTTTTGCAGTAACACCTTGCCGATTTCTAAACCTCGTAACTGAGAGAAAACGGTAAAAAAAAGCATCCAATCAAATTGCGAGTAACCACCCGTGAACCATGTCAATCTGTGTCACATTCACCAGGGAGGGGGACAATGTTTACACGTAAATACCCCCCTCCACGTCACTCTCTACGCGTCAAAATATCTCCATATCCCATGACCTTAGCATTGTTACAACTTCGGATACCAAATCGAATTAACTTGAGACTTGGATGGTTAAAAAAATTCAAAACTCCGATCTTAAGCAATATGGCAAAAAAAAAAAAAAAAAAACTAACCGCGAATGATTTAAAACAATAAAATATTATTATAACAATTTTCGAAAATATAGTGAAAGTGTCGAATTTCAAAAACTACATTGACCGTTTTAAAATTTGTTTTTGTTAAATTATTATTATTATTATAATCTCTACAAGTGCAACCGAGTCATTCTTCTTTCAACTCGGAAGACAACCGGATTCAAAGAAACACAAAAAACCGAGTCGAGTTCAAACCAACACTAAAGAAACACAAATATTTGGCGATCCCCGTCAAATTATTATGTCCAATTAGAAATCTCCACGTCACAGAAAATAACCAATCAGCATAGAGCTCGAGGATCGATGACTGTTTCAAACCATCACAGAGCCGTTGCAGACTTGAACCCTACGTTTCATCCCTTCGTATATATATTACACAAACACTTCTTTAACAATTAGATTTTCCCCAATTTGAAACCCTAGCCTCCCAAATCTCTCCAATCTTCAAATCCTTCTTCCAATTAGGTACAAATTTTCAACTTTCCTTCTGTTTTGGTACTATTCTTTTGTTTAATTTCTTGATTACAGTTCTGAACGTGTTTCGTAATTACTTTTCAGTTTTTGTTTGAATCTGAATCACAATGGCTCGTACAAAGCAGACTGCTCGTAAATCCACCGGTGGAAAAGCTCCACGAAAGCAACTTGCTACTAAGGTACGTCTGATTCGATGTACTCCGACATCTTTCTTTTAATCATACTCGAATAGTTTTACCAGAAAGAATTGTTCATAATCCTTTTAAATTTCGTGTTGAATTTAACAGGCTGCCAGGAAATCCGCACCAACAACCGGAGGAGTGAAGAAGCCTCATCGTTACCGCCCTGGAACCGTCGCTCTCCGGTAAAATACCAACTTTCTATTCAAAACCTAGAATCATTGAATTCGTTGCTTAAATTATTGATCTTCAATTTTTGTTATGAATACAGTGAGATCCGCAAGTACCAGAAGAGCACAGAGCTTCTTATCCGCAAGTTGCCGTTCCAAAGGCTTGTTCGTGAAATCGCTCAGGATTTCAAGGTAGCGTCTTTTCCTTGTTCGGAACTTATGTCATACAAACTGTGTAATCATTCATTAACGAATTTCTTGATTTGTAGACTGATCTGAGGTTCCAGAGCCACGCTGTGTTGGCCCTTCAAGAGGCAGCTGAAGCTTACCTTGTTGGTCTCTTCGAGGACACCAACTTGTGTGCCATTCATGCCAAGAGGGTTACCATCATGCCCAAAGATATCCAGTTGGCCAGGCGTATCCGAGGTGAACGTGCTTAGTTTGCCTTTCGTTAAGTAGAAGTTGTGTTTGGAATTTTCTTTTTGTCGTATGGGTGTATGCAATCTTTACATACCAAACCTATATTTCTTTATTATGTTGTCGTTAGGGAGTTGGTTTAAAAGAACGTATTAGTTTGGGATATGTAAATTCTCTATACATTGGTTATTGGTATGGTGTTATATCTTCTATGTTCTTATCGTATTTACCATGTGAATTTGGTAATGGAAGTGTTTTGTGGTTGATTGTATAAAGCAGATTTCCGTGGTAGCATTAATTGTAATGTTTAATCTTTACAAGGCCCCTTTTTCGGCGACATTTTCTACGTCAAGAGCACCACCCACATTAGGATTTATATATGAATTATTTGAATATGAAGTGGATAATTATTGCGAATTAAATATATAAAAATTTACGAGAAGAACAACCTTTTAATTGTGTATTTGAGCTGCTGAAAAAGATTATGCATTGTGTTATTGCCTTTAGTTGTCATTAGTTGCTAATTGGGCTACGATTGTTGCCTATTGGATTTCATTGATAGTTGCTAATTGGGCTACAATAGTTGCTAATTGGATTAGAAGGGCTACAATAGTTGCTAATTGGATTAGAAGGTGATGTTTAGTGGTCATTGATACTTTCTATTGGGTTAGTAGTTGATGATGTTGGAAGTTCCGCGAGTGTAGTATTAAGTGAAACTTGGTTGATTTATAATAATGGATTCGTCATCCATATCCAACTTCCTCCATGCTACTTTCATCACATTCCTTCTTCCCATAGCTTATGAACAAGCATTTATGTTCTATTTTTTCTCTCAACTACTCTCATCACATTCCTTCTTCCCATAGCTTATGAACAAGCATTAATGGAACTGGTGAAGGTATCAACCAATATTCACAAGAATCCTACTCGGACAGAGTATATTGACAATTCAACAAAAGATATGATCTTGCAGATAGGGCATCGAAAAGAAAATAAAGGTTCCTCCATAGACAAATCAAATAAAGATTAAAAAAATGTTATTTATTCTTCGGTATAGGCGTGTTCAATTAGTAATAACAAAAAAATCAAATTGTTTATCTTTTGAGTTAATTTGAGTTTGAATCAACTGTCCTAAAAATCGTGTTCAATTAGTAATAACAAAAAAATTAAATTGTTTATCTTTTGAGCTAATTTGAGTTTGAATCAACTGTCATAAAAATTGTTTGTAATATTTTTTTTTTTCAAATAATAAACATTACATAGCCAATAAATTTTGGTCCCTGGAAACGTGGTTCTGAGCAGTCGCCCACCGTCTGGACCGGCCCTGCTTGTAGTATGTACGTTAATGATTATGACTTGAACACCACATCAATCTTTAAATGTCAACAATATTATATCTTTTGCTGAATAGTATTCTACCCTGGTACATCTCGGTTTGTCTTAGTTATTACCACTACAAAATTGAAGAGATTGTTAGTGGGTTTCTTGTGTTTTATTCAATCACCATATATACAAAAACTTATGCAGTGGCCACCACATCAACTACACATGAATAAGTCTTTGCATTTAATCTTTGATAACAAAAATCTAATGTACAAATTGATTGTAGACCTTACAAAATCGAAGAAGTTACAAATATTATAGGGCTCGGAGAGGCAGTGGATCAGAAATCTATTGCACACCTTACCAACAGAGATGGAGGACAGGGAGAGAGATGGAGACAATGGATTTTGATGTATGTTGCGTGCTCTTGGTTGCATCGCTGGGTAAATGGGGCAAAGCATGCCTTTTCCCTTTGTAAGGTCGTTTTATTTGGCTGGCTGAATCAAATGATTTTTATGGAGAGAATCAGATAAATGGATTGAATCAAATACATAATTCACAAATCACCAGACCGAATCAGACATTTCCGTGTGACCCGACCGGGTCAACACGAAATCAAACAACCCTTTACTTCTATCATCTTCCTCCCAAATTCTTAAATGTGTTCAACATGATGTTAATTGAACGATGGTAGTTGGTTATACCGTTTCTAAATATCATTTCTCATTTTATATTACACTTGTTTCTAAACTTCATCCTATTTTTTTATTCTTACAAGTTTGATTTTCATTTGCAAATTTGGATCTCGTTATTTTATTGGGGCAATTACTAATCAAGTCTAATTGAGAAAGTAATTAATTATTTTTAGCTAAAAATTAGGAATTATCCTAAAATAGCCCAAGAAATCGTAGGTAATTAGAGTGTACTACGGTTTTGCCAAATTATCTACTGTTTCATGATAAGTATAAAAAAAATTCATTTGGAACTTGAAAACCTAGGGTTTCGTTATATTTTTTAAAAGTTTTTGAAAAGAAATAATGAAATCATAACTTATATATGATGGCTTACGTGGTTACAACAAATTAAAAAAAAAACCGTAGACTTCATACGAAACCTACGGTGTACAAGTTCACACTGTACAATCTGTGCATTGTATACTTGTATACCGTAGATTTCGTATGAATCTTATGGTTGTAATATATTCTTTTTTCGTTTTTTTTAAGAAAAAGTTATCCCCATATATAAAAACTACTCCTAATAAAATATACGGTAAAATTTTGATAAAAAATGAACGTACTTCGTCGTTATTCGAGTGTACCATTGAGAGAAAAAAGTAGGTAAAATCAAGAAAATAATAATCAAAATAACTTAATCTGAAAAATTATACATTATATACTATGAGCCAATGGGATGTGAAAGAGTAGACTGGCCGTGAAACAATAACCCATTGTCACGAAAGAATAGTTTTCTCCTATTGACCGTAGTCAACTTGTGTTGACCATAGTCAAGCCTGACCAATCTACTATTTTGTGGGTTACTTTTGACTAATTTGTTTTTTAAGCTATTTTTAAATAGATAATTAGTGTTTTAGGCTAGATTAGTACTCTAATTTTTTTTAGCGATACAATAATTAGAAAATGCTTGATTTTAATTCTTGCTTGAAAAGGTAACGATGAGTGGTGGTGCACAGTGATAATGGTGGTGAATAGTGTTAGTGATAAAGAAATAGATAAAATATTGAGGACAGTATCACCATTTTTTTGAAGGAAATTAACAAGCATTTTAGATTGGAGTTAGACTTCTATTCATCTTCGTTTTTTCATCAAAAATATAATAAAAAATAAGATAAGTAGTATATTATTTCTAAGCATATTTTTTTAACTTTACTTTTTAGTCCAAAAAAGTATATATTTATATTACTTTTTTTTAACATACATATATTGTCAAACATCTCCATTTTACTAATTAGATTTTAATAAATATATATTTTATCTTTTTTTTTTCATTACAATAATTGATATATTATCATAGAAGAATGGTTGGATGAAAAAGACACCCATTCAACGGTTATTTTATAGCTTGTTTTCTTATAACATTTTTATAGCATTATTTCGTGAATGAGCTTACCAGCGATCCGACTGACTTTATCTTATACATAAAGTAATTAACTTTTAATAAATATATATAAGATGTATTTTAAAACGTTTTAAAATATTAGGTTTAAATACTAATTATCTGAATTAAACTTTTAATTAATTAATATTAAACCAATTATGATTTATCTTTATCCTTTAATTAAACCACTAACTAAATTAATTAACAAATTTAGAAATTAAATAATTACTTTAATTAAACTATTAATTAGTTAATTCAAATTTAATCTCTATCAAGGATTTATAATTATCTTTTAATTAGTCTTAATTAAATTAATTATTAGATCCATTAGAATAATTTTAATTAATCTTATAATTAATCATTATCTTGTCTAAGATTATCTCGCAATATTTAGGTTTCTTTTAATCATCTAAGACAAGCAAAATCAGATTTTGGCAGAAAATAAAATAGATAATTACCAAATAAAACCGCTTAAATCAGATTAGGTAGAAATTCCCGAAATTCTGGATCTGAGTTGAGTTCACATCGTGACTGATGCACTATCACGTCGTGAAAACATTTTTTGCGAAATTTTTTGTTTAATTCAAAGATGTGCTTTCAATGTTAGATACACCAAGTAGCTCTGATACCACTGAAGGGTTTATTAGGTTACAACAAAATGATCAATGCATAAAATTACTTAACAATTAAGAAAGGAAACATGCAACCTAAAAGATTTATGTCTTATACTTTGAATGCAACATACTTTAAATAACAAAATCTAGCATAAACCGTAGTTAATTAGAAAACCATACAAGTGTTATGGTTTACATAACTTAGAATTTTTTTTTTGTAAACAATTCCTTGAATCCATTCCTTTGTGTCTTTAGAAAGCAAACATAAAAAATGTGATGCCTCCGATGACTCACACCAAAAACTCTAGAAACCCTAAAATGAAATGGAGAGAGGAGAAGGATAGGAATTTTGTTCCTAAGCTTTTAGGTAAAGGCATCCACAAAATTTGATGCCCAAGGGTTTTTATATATAGTTTACGTAAGTTGCACACAAAACCAGATTTAATTAATTAAATAATAGATTTAATCCCAATTCAAATCCTTTTCCTTATTAGCATCTAGGAGGTTTCTAGAAACCCTACAAGAGCTCCCAAAACCACCCATCCTTGGAAGGTTCTAGAATTGCCTATTTTATTAAAATATTGAACAATTATATTTCCCCTCTGCGTCTTTAATTAATTCAAAATAATCCCGAATTAATTCCAAATTAATTTTGATTAATATTATTTTAATTCTAGTTGATTTCTTATTAATTTATTAACCATATAAATTGGCAAATCAATTATTTAACTTTTGATCTCATATTAATTTATTAATCACAAAATAAATTAACAAATCAACTATTTATTTCCAATTAATATATTAATCACATAATATATTAGCAAATCATTTATTTCTCTCTCAAAATATCATTTCTAGTTAACTTTGTTTCTATTTGCAAGTTTTTATCAATTTAGTTATGAGCTTAGACACCTTAATTCAACAGTCTCCTACCTGGAAAAGTTTATAACTTCAATTGTAAGTATAACCTAGCAATAAAGACTGCTTTCCAAAGCCATTGCAAAACTATGATTAAAATCAAACATCGACCCTAAGATAAGTGATTAGATACTCCTTCGTTCTACAAGATATCGTATGGATACGAGACATGGATTCAAATCAATATCATGGTCTAAGATTCTGTTTCCCGATTTTTGATTTATGACTTTGGATTCATAATACTAATTGAACACAACAATTTAGTCTGGGCAAGGCCTTACACATGAATGTCAAAATCAAATCATCGAGGACCCCAAAGATATTGCTTTTCCCGTTAGGGCAATAGGAATGAATAAACTTTGACTATATAATTGTATCATTACTTACT